TTATGAAATCATTAACATCATACTTACCACAAGGATCACACGCCATTGATTGGCCGGAGATGAGAACGTTACACTTAGCAGATCCTACTTTCGAGAGTCCAGTCAAGATTGATTTATTACTAGGTGCAGATGTCTTTGCCGAGATAATACAACAAGGCATTCTGACACACAAATGCGAAACACACAATCTTGTTGCACAGAGAACATTATTAGGCTGGATTATAACTGGCAAACACGAATCGAGCAATACTATTCACTCTGAGGCATCCATTCTTCATGTTAGGGTGGAATTGGATAGTCTTCTTCGTAGTTTCTGGGAGATTGAGGAGGCAGCAGAGAAACGCATACTGACTAACCTTGAACTTAAATGCGAAAAACATTATAAGCTAACACACCAAAGGATGAAAAATGGACGTTATTCAGTTCGCTTACCCTTTCTTTCCACTCCTCCGGATATTGGTGAATCACTCAATATAGCCAAGAGACGATTTAATGCTTTAGAAAATAAACTTAGACGCGATACAAACCTAGAAAAGAAATACACTAATTTCATGGAAGATTACATACAACAAAATCATATGGAGAAAATACCAGCTGTCGAGATTCAGAAAAAACCGAATGAGGTCTGTTACATTCCACACCATGCTGTTATAAATAATGAGCATCTAACAACAAAGTTAAGGGTAGTGTTTGACAGCTCAGCCAATACTAGTAACGGCAAGTCGCTCAATAACAATTTGATGCCTGGGCCCGCTCTACAAAATGACATCCGAAACGTTACCTTGAGATGGCGTAGACATAAAATAGTTTTAATAGGAGATATTCGCCAACATTACAGACAAATAAGTTTAGACCCTAGAGCAGTAATGTTCCTATAGAACACTATAGATTAACAACTGTCACATATGGAACTTCTTGTGCACCATATCAAGCTATAAGGACACTTAAACAATTAGCTGAAGATGAAAAGGAGAACTTTGATGATGACATCATAGACACTTTGTTGCAAGATTTTTTCATTGATGACTTGCTTGGAGGAAGTGAGTCTTCTGAGAAAGCTGCTGACCTGTAACAAAAAATAACACAGTTATTAAGTAAAGGGGGATTTCCACTACACAAATGGACATCAAACAGTTCAGAAATTCCAGGTGCAGAGCAGTCAAATCGTAAAATATTAGGCATAAACTGGAATGGATTTACAGACACATTTGAGCTACAGATAGTCCTGCCTTTATCAAGTGAAATTACAAAAAGAACAATCTTACGAGATATAGCTACCATTTATGATCCTGCCGGTTGGTTAGCACCTGTAGTAATAGTCGCAAAGCACATGCTTCAAAGATTGTGGTTAGAAAAGATTGATTGGGACGAGCGGTTATCTGATTCAATTTTACATGACTGGATAATTTTTAAAAGACAATTAGGAGAAATGCCAATTATAAAAATTCAAAGATGGTTAGGTATAGCAGAAGAGACGACGGAAATAGAGTTGCATGGATTTTCTGATGCATCGAGTATAGCTTACTCTGCTGTGGTTTACTGTAGAGTAATTAATCAAAACAGCACTAATGTAACAATTGTGGAGGCTAAGACTAAGGTTGCACCAGTAAGACAAGTTTCACTCCCAAGACTGGAGCTATGTGGAGCTCTATTGTTGGCCAAACTGTTGCATCGAGTACAAACTGCATTGAACATTCCTAATCGTCAAATCTTTGCATGGACTGATGCTACTATAGTCCTAGCATGGCTGCAGAAGTCGCCGAGCTATTGGTGTACGTTTGTTGCAAACAGAGTAACTGAGATTACTAACCTGGTTGAGAGGAGTAGATGGTACCACGTCGCGTCGGAGGAAAATCCTGCGGAGCTTCCAGCGCATCGGCTGTGGTGGCAAGGACCTACCTGGTTGAAAGAGACAGGCCCCTTGCCCGTCACTCCTTCTTCTGTCGTTGAACCTACGGATTTGGAAAGAAAAATATTAGTAAATGTGTCAATGAATGATGGATTTAATGTAGTGAATAAAAAAATCAATATTAGTGAAAGTGCATTATCTCAAGATTTGTTATGTAGATACTCTAATTTAACCAAGCTCATTCGTGTTGTGTGTAGAATGTTACGATTTATTAATTGTTTAAAAAATAAGCGTAAAACAAAATATAATTTAACTTACCCTAGTTGGCTTACAACTAATGAATTGAATATAGCAATGAATACTTTGTTATACATATCACAGTCAAATACCTTTACAGATGAGATTAAATTACTTAAAGATACTCATATAAATAAATTTAAAATGTTGAATAAGTTACAAAATGGCAAGAGAATAATTAAATTAAATCCTTACCTTGATGAGAATTGTTTATTACGAGTAGGAGGCAGACTTCATTACTCCACTCTGCGTAGTGAGATGAAGCATCCTTACATTTTGGTTAAAGATAATCTATCAAATCTCATTGTTCTAGATGCACATTACAAAACTTTGCATGGGGGGGTACAATTAATGTTAAATTATATCAGATCCAAATTTTATATTATAGGGGTTAAATATATAATAAAAACAATAATTCATAAGTGTATAATATGTACAAAAAATAGAGCTGACTTGAGTTCACAGCAAATGGGTAACTTACCTAGAGAACGTGTCAATCCTCAACGGCCATTTAGTGTGACTGGAGTGGACTTTGCAGGTCCTGTAATTCTTAAATTATTTAACGGTCGAGGATCTAACAGAACTCAAAAAGCTTATATTGCAGTTTTCATTTGCACCGCAATCAAAGCTGTGCACCTTGAATTAGTTACTAGTTTAAGTACTGAAGGTTTTGTGGCCGCTTTCAGGCGTTTTGTATCTCGTAGAGGTCATTGTACTAAATTGATAAGTGATTGTGGTACAAATTTTATAGGAGCTAGTAAAGAGCTCAAACAAATGTTTTTAGACTGTAAAAAGGACTTACCTGTAGAAATAGCTGATTTACTCGCTCGAGATGGAACTGAATGGCAATTTAATCCTGCTGGAGCACCTCATATGGGAGGTTTATGGGAGTCCGCTGTGAAATCAGTTAAGTTCCACCTCAATCGAGTACTAGGCGAAAGTAAACTTACGTATGAAGAATATTCAACATTATTATGCCAGATAGAGAGTTGCTTGAATTCCCGTCCATTAACACCCATCGACGCCAACACAGATGACAGTTTAGATGTTTTAACACCGAGTCATTTTCTTATCGGCGAATCTTCCTTGGTCGTACCCGATCAAGATCTTAATAATGTCAATGTACCATATACAAAAAGATGGATTTATCTTCAGCAAAAAATGCAGTCATTTTGGCGTAAATGGAGCAGTGATTATTTAGTTACTTTAAACAAACGGCAAAAATGGTCTGGAACTCAATCTAACATAAATATAGGTACGATTGTAATTGTTAAAGACGAAAGGTTACCAGCTTCTAAATGGTTAATAGCTAAAGTTATAGATATACATCCTGGTAGCGATGGTTTGGTTCGAGTCGTTACGCTTAAGTGTAAGAATTCTGTAATTAAAAGACCAATTCATAAACTTTGCGTCCTCCCAATTGAGAATGATTAATTTTATTTGGTTTGTTTATTTTAGATTTATATACACTTCAACATGTGTTTCATAATATTATAGATTTTTGTGTTATATTCTGCTAAACTTATTAAAGGACTAGTCGTCCTTTGGGGGGCGAAATGTTAAGATATGTGTTTACGCCGTGCGGCGATAGATGGCACTGTACGCTTGTGACTCGCGCTATCCTTTTGTTGCGTATCATTATATATAGATGCCGTTAGACTTGAATAAATCTCTTCTTCGGAGTTTTTCCACTAGATCAATATATTAGTTTTATTTCGTTCCGTAACCAAACACCACGTTCAATTTTGGACCACTATTCACACGAAGGCTCTCGACTTAATAACGTATTTATGAGCGCTCCACTCGCTAGTCCGTCCGTGGTGGGGAGGTTAGGTGATGTGGCGTGATTTAGTCATTATAATCATTAAAATAATAGTAGTACAAAATCAAACTCGTTAATAATGTCGACGCTTTTCACTATTGCCACGTTTAGGTCCTCCATCTTCAATGTTCCGGCCGCAAATGAGAAAAACTTGTCAATACCCATCAAGACGCGTCAAGCGCAGGCGCATCAAGCGCCGTCAATCCCAATTATTGTCAATTGTGATCAGGCCTGTAGTACCTACGCTTGACGTTAGTCAATAGTCGCTTCAATCATGAAAACTTCACAAGTCGACTTTATCGTCTCCGGGACCCATTAGGTTTCCGATTGATCAAGTCAGGCCACAAAATTGGATATCAATTTTTGTTCATGATCATGAACAAAGAAGCGATTCAGACTGGATGCCATCAAAAAAGAGCTGAATCTGTAGCGATTATTTCAAAACCACCATCAAGTATGATTCGAAAAAGGACAAACACTACCAAAAAGAATCATTGTTATATATTCAATAAATCTTATTTACATTCATAATATTTTTTGTCTTTCCTATGTAGTATGTATGTTTACTTACTTTTTAATCAAGTGTCCACTCTACGACTAATAAATGTTACTCTTTGCACAAGAATACAATTGAAATTTTAAGTTTGAGTTTGATTGGAACTCTGTACAGATATTAAACGCAATTACTATATGAACCTAACATATCTAAAGTTATAAAATATCATTGCTTATATCACACCTGCGTGATGAAATTTTGGTACTAAAATGCGCTAAAATTAGCGTTCGAACTTTGAATTTAGTATGCTCCTTTAGCTTGTGATCGTCTCCTACAACCTCTTTTAGCGTGTTAAATTATTGCCAGTCAAGCTAACGCCTTGTGTCTATAGACACGCAGCCTGCTAATTCATTACGACAGAACTAATTAAAATTACGAAAGCAAATTTTAGCGCATTTAAAATCTAAGCCACTTAAAGCTTCATCGCGCAGGTGTAGGAGAAGCATTAAGAACATCAATAGCAGAAGTAAACTGACCGACACTGGAGAGTAACTCGTTGATTTGTTGCAAAGAGGTCTTCATTTCGATAATAAGTTTCCCTTTTTCATCCAGCGATCGCTTAAGGTTTTGCTCTTCTCGTTCTTCAGCTGCTATTTGGGCACGCAGCTGTTTCTTATCTTTCACAAACCTGCGGAAGGTCAGATAGTTTCAGCGCTGCGGGCGCTATAACGCATCATCCAAGATGTGGAAAAATACACACATCAAAAAATTCCAAGCAGCACGCATCATTTACAGAAACTGTATGTTTTATTAATTGTTATTTAATTTTATTTAGCAATGTAGGTTGGTAAACAATGCTTTTTAAAAAAGAGGCCAAATACGTACGTGTTGCTTAGACTTATTTGGTGAGTATAATATGGTAAATCGAAAATTTACTCTCGCAAACCTCGTTTATGTTGAATTATTTACATAATTTAAGTGTTTAGTTCCATCCCCACAAATTTTGTGTTCATCGTTTTTTCGTTCATCATGGGATAAATTATATAAACAATATTATAAATGCGAAAGTATCTGTCTGTAACCGCACACCTAAACTACTGATCCGATTTATATTAAATTTGGTATACACATTGTCTGAGTCCCGGGAACGGACACAGGATAGTTTTTATCCTAGAAACCAATCTTTAAGGGGGTGAAAAGAGTAGGTGGAACTATGTATGGGAAACCAATATTCCCTCGCAAATGAAGTTACAAGCACGCACTAGTTGTTAAACAAATAAAAAAACCAACAAAGTTTATCCCATGACTGCTTAAGTTTTTGCCTTGGTTTCTAAGTGCATTAGGGCAACTATATTATTTACCATAGATACACCAACACGAACAAAATCGTTACCGAAACCTGCCCAAAAGGTACATTGGACGATTCACAGAGCTCCCTAAGACGATAGCGTATTCAAAAACAATATAAGGCATTATTTAAACATTGAAAGTTACCTTTAGTGCATACTGTATCAGGTCTTAATTAAAACGACGTGTTAAAGAGTTATGACAGTTCGAAATGAAAGCTCGTAAAATTTTACGATTTATTGCTATATGCGGAAGAATACAGAACTTATTTCTTTGACTCTACGCGCAATTCTGTATATATATATTGCTAACAGCGCATCGCAGATACGGCCTGCGAGGAAAGGAGACGGCTATATTACCGACCATGTATTTGCAAAAATATTTTTTATTAAATCAGTTTATAGTAAGTATTAGAACTTTGACAAAATTTGCTTCAAATGCGTTAAATTAACATACATTGATTAGACACCTGTAGAAAAAGCCGGCCTTGTGCGAGTAGGACTCGCGCAACGAGGGTTCCGTTCAAACCTGTAGGTATATTTTAATAATTATTAAAAAATATTTTTATTATATGATGTAACTAAAAATTTACGGTTTTCGCAATTTTTTGTTTATCTGTACTATATGACGTTACTTCGTACCAAATTTCAAGATTCTAAGTTCACGGGAAGTACCCTGTAGGATTTGATTCCCGTGTGAGTTTCGAAAATTTGCGGCATAAACGGCTGTATCTTTTGATTGCTTTGGCTTAGAAGTTTGATTTTTTCACAGCTCCAAGGGACAGTAGACTTGAGTATTATGAATTTCAGTTTGATACCTCCACGCGTACCTGAGAAAAACGGTCTTCACAGGCGGACGGACGGACAACAAAGAGGTCCTTTAAGGGTTTCGTTTTTTCCTTTTGAGGTACGGACCCTAAAACGGACACTTTACATATTATTCGTATTGTTTTCACGGAGCTCTGCGGCATCTTGACTTTTCAACGGTTCGCGCGTAACTGTGAACCAAGAAGTGCTTGAGTGGTGTTCAAGCATTTCTTGATTGGGACACACTTTGAGCGCACGCGGTGTATCTAGGGTATTTAATATCGTTGGCATTGTGGTCTAAAATATATACTTCGGTCTAATTATCGATTTTAGGGTTCCGTATCCAAAGGGTAAAAATGGAATCTTATTGCTGTCACTCTGTCGTCTATCTGTCTGTCTGTATGTCACGGGTCCCTTGATCGTAAAGTAGTTATAGTTTTCAGTTTTAGACCATTTTATTACGGGATCTATCTCAAAATCTAAACTAGTTGGGAACGTGAAATTTGGTAAATGATGTATTGATATGCTGTATTTGAATAAGAAACACTGAAAACGCCGATTCATAATGTACTTTGTAAGTTGTGACGAAAAGAAACTATAGTAAATTGACATCTCTGAGTGCAGCCATAATTTCTATGTAAGGAAGTATTAAAAACAAGAGTGTCGATGTGCTCAGATGAGTAAGTCAAGTGCATTTAGCACATCAACTATGAACATAACTACCCAATAAGTTAGAATATTTTTATAAACCGTATAGAATATGGCCGACTTTCCCATACATCGCACTTAAAAATGGTTTTCTTCCTCTTTTCTCACTCTTCAGATGCAGCGTAGAAAACACAAGGTTGCTTATTTGATGTGAAGTGAAGATAAAATCATAATATTTTTTTTAAACCCTTCACATATCTATACTAGGTAATAGGTACTTTAAATAAAAAGAGTAAAGATTTGTATGTTTGTAACGGATAATCTCAAAAAATACTGGGCTGATTCCAAAAACACTCTCACCATAAGCATGCTACCTACATTAACCCTGAGTAATATTACAAGGCTTTATGTATTTCACTTGTTAAAATGAAATTCACCCGTGCAAAGCTGGGGTCGGTCGCTAGTGCATTATATATAATATTTCTTACCTTACGACAAAATATTATAAACTGGACTAAATATTGCAATCTCAAATGCTTTTCTTTATAAGATTTTAAATGAATGGCCGAAATGTATGTACGCACGTAGATTTTGAACTTTTGAGGTCTGCAGCAAATCGGAAAATTCTTACTTAGTTATAATTTTTATTATCATGTTCAAAGATATTTTTTGTAAACTTCACCAGAAACCACAAATAAATTTTAGAAATTGTATTGATGTATTTTCATTAAAATCTTAACGCTTCTCAATTTCTCATTATTATAATGCACCCGTGCATAGCCGAGTGTGTGAATATTCCATAAAACTCTTACTGCATCAAATAAAATGGTACCCATTTATATCACCCACATGATACATGCCACCCACAGCTCGGCAAGCCTGAGCGTCGTCGTCACGACGAGAGTGTCGTCGGCGTAACAGACGACACTCACATCGCGAGGAAGGCTGGTGCGAAGGACCGCGTCGTATGCGAGGTGCCATAAAAGGGGTCCCAAAACTGAACCCTATGGAACGCCGCACTCGACCCCCCCCCCCCCCCCCCCGTCGTTTTTGTCCCGTTCCTTCCCACCACTCGAATTGTCCTGTTGCGCAAGTAGTCCCCAAACACGGCCCGCAGGTAGGGGGGCAACTCGTGGTATTCGAGTGCTTCCCTGATGACTATTTGTTAACCTAGTATCTCATAACACAAGCCTACAGTTATTACTTCGGGGCTAGGCCAATTGGTGTGTGTTGGAAAAAAAATACACTTCAGGGTACCTGGTAATACATAATATAGATAATATCAAATATGATTATCACATTTCATCTTTATACATGACATGAAAATATTTCGAAACCCTGCTTCTCACAGCTTCTTTTTTTATGTTATCTGGAATGAAGTGTAGTGGACTCCATTCGCATTAACTTAAGTTTTTTTGAGAATCCCACAGAAGCTGACATTTTTCCGGGATATAAAGTATTCTATATAAAGTTTCGATAATGCACTCGGGCGCCCTTCTCTGTAATATGTCCTGCCACGGCCAAGCTTCTTCATTTCATAGATCACTGAATTATACCGGCTGCTCAATTCCAAGTAAGCAACGGAATCAATATGAGATTATTTTTATTGACTTACCAAGTATGTGTATACCTTTCCGGTCATAAGTTCTGTTACAAATGAAAATGCTTTATTTTAATGAAGTTATGTAATATTGTTAAAATTGTGTGGTCTCCAAACTACGCTGCAATATTTAGGGATTCTATGAAGTAAATTACAGTAAAGGAATTTATTAACATATCGTTGATGGCCTTCTGACTATTCAACACGCGGAACAAATGGTAATTTATTTACAAATATGACTCCAAATCTCTAATTTGTTCCTGTTCCTGTATGAGGTGGTTAATGATTTCATAATTCACATGAATTAGGCTCTGCGACCTAGAAAATGAAAAGTGATTTTTTTGTGTTAAGGTCTATCATATTGTCTCCACGCCATTGTATTAGTCTCCATGTAACTTTAGACAGTCCTCACTAGATTCAATTCTCCAATATTAAGTCGTCAGCATATATATAATATACATACATCAGAATGTCATTATTAAAACAGTTATTGAAACGAGCCCCGACTCCCAAACTTAGACGCGCTTTATTTTTGTTACTTTTTGGTTGATTGACAAAAGACAAAAATGGGTATAATTTTGTCAATAATCTAACGGACGGACTAAATATAATTTATTTTATTTTACCCCGTCATCGTCCCTATTTTATAACTATCCATAAGCACGAACTACGGGCGTGTTTTAGTCAGTAAGAGTCTGACATAACCTTGCAGCTGTAGGGTATCAATGTGGATTTCATACCCGCTCCCCGCCTGGGAGGAAAAAGAATCGGCGGTTATTTTAGTTGAGATACATATTGATATTAATTGGTTTTTTTAATTTCCGATACAAAAAATAAAAACTCCTACTGAAATATATTGTGGAACTACAGGCAACTGCTCAACCCTACACTGCGCGTGGCACGACACGCACTTGGCCGGTTTTTAATAATGTCAAAGGTATTAATATCTTAAATTGAGGAGCTCGATGGCGCAAGTGGTTAGCGCGTGCATCTGCGATCGTTGAAGTTAAGCAACTTTCGCAGTGGTCGGTCATAGGATGCGTGACAAAAAATTTACTATCTTGAGTTCCTCCGTGCTTTCGAGGGCACAAGCTGTTGGTCCCGGCTGCATCTGCAGTCGGTAGCACCCGCCAATCCACACTGGACCCGCGTGGTTTGCCATGACCCAATCGCCCTATTCCATCCATAGGCAAGGCCTGTACTCCAGCAGTGGGGATATAAATGGGCTGATGATGATGCTGATGAATATCTTAAATAGGTATCTCAAATGTAAATTAGATTTGGGGC